TGTGTGTAGAAAATCACGAGAATTTCAATTCCCTTTCCAAATGGTTTTCCAACTAAACCATTATAAAACTTTAAACAGTTTGATCTCTTTCTCTAATCAAACACATATATGTTCATCTTAATATATAGTATATTCATGATGTCAAGATACTTCAAGTATTACTGTAAGTCTAATTCACATCTTACACACCTTAAAAATATTTTTCCACATATTTCATGCATACTGCCAAATAGTATACCAATCAATCGATTATATTTGGTAAACTGAATAACAAAGTAATTCTTTTATGTTATTCCCAATTATCACAGCATGCAAATATATACCCGATTTCTGTTGTCACTTTCGGTTTACCAGAACGATGCAAATCGTATGATGACGTGCGAGTTAAATAACGCAACCGCTGCATCATTTTTGCATTCCAACCAATGAATACACAATATTGAAGCCACGTTCACAATGTTCAATATTCATATATGTACCCTTTCTTTTGAACCAATGGGTTGTAGAATTAAATAAGAAACTTTGATCCACTTTTAATGATATCAGCGCCCAGATTCCTTCCAATCTGTTTGAACCCATTTGCTTCACAAGTTCACATCACTAGTCTTTGGTATTATAATTATTCTTTAGAATAATTAATTCATATAACAACTCAAGTCAAATGTGACTTGATTATCTCTTCCATGCACCGTTTCACACTTAGATTCAAAGTGATCGACAACCATACTTTACGGTGTCATTTGAATGATAATTTCCTTAAGATTGTTATGAATCTGTATTTCTGTAATATATTAAATAATAATCTTTCTGAAAATAGAAACAGAAAGTTAGTAGAAATTAAATTCTGAAAACAGTAAACTTCTTCAAAATAAATTATGAAAAAACGTTGTAGGAACAAATCGAGCCCACTGAATACACAGTGTGTCCTTAAGGAAATTATTCCCCTCAAGTACCCGAGGTTTTGGAATATATCCTCCCAGGATAGAACGATTTAACTCACCAGTGTATCGGTACCTAAAACTCTGGTGATCGGCGAACCACTCAATGGTCGTAAAACACACTAGAATATTTTGTGCAGAAGAAGAAGAAGATTCAGAAAATTTCGTAAGTAAATATTCTGGGATTTGAAGGTCTATTTATAGCCAACTTGGTGATGTTTCTGAAGAGGTTTGCAACCTTTCAGAACAGTCATGGCTGTTGGAACAGGTGTGACACTCTGAAGAGGTTTGCAACCTTTCAGAACAGTCATGGCTGTTGGAAAATTTTGCGGGAAATTTAAAACGAATTTAAAGTAATCCGGAAAAGAAAAACGGGTCGGACCGCTTGCCTTCTTATTAGTTCTTTAAGAGCTAAAAGATGAGCTTCTCTATATAAACGCCAAGACTTTTTTTCTTTCTACCAATGAGGGACAAAGTGCATTAGTGAACTCATTCAAAATTTCACTTTCCTCCATTTCTTTCCCACCATTTTCCATTCACCTTCTTTTGTTATTAAACAAAATCCAACATTATGTTCGTGTGGGCTTGAGCTGAATGCATGATCAGTTTGTTGCTTGCTTCCTTGCGAACTCTGACTTGCCAGGTTCATATATGGTCTAATTTATATCTGCTCATTACCTCAACTATATGTTCCTTTTACATGTTACCCAATTCTCATGACTCTTTAACTACTGTATTCCTCATTGATCTTTTGTGCCTGCTTCAGAACCAAATGAGAAGCTACAAATGCAAGAACCAGACATAGCAACTTAACATAGTGATTTCACCGAGATCAAGCAAGAAGTAAAACACTTAACCAAGATTCCCCAGATTATAAGGTGTATGCTTCAGCGCACAATCTGCTTTTGTGCAAGAAACTTTAATTTCCTTTCTTGCTCGTCGAGGCATGTCATGTCACTATCAAACTGCGACCTAATACTGGCATTCTCTTAAACACATGCATAACTGTACAAGATTTTCTCATCTTCTTGCCGGCCATTAAAAAGCTACTGCCTACTGCAATCTCAGCCGTGCTAAGTGCATATTAAGATTCTTCGTGGACATCATCCAAGAACATCCAGCAGGTGGATTGTCAATTTTGCTGCTCCTTGACCGGTTGATTTTGCTGATATTATTGGTTTTAGTTAAAGAGTGAAAAGTTCAGCAAACAGACTAGAGAAATTGAATGTTTGCGGGCGGGGCAAGTTGGAAAGTTTGCGGGTTAAGGCTTCACCCCCTCCCCCCTGCCTTGCCCGCTTGCCATTTCTACTTGTTGTCGCTCTTCCTCTCCTTTCTTTATGCTAAAATTGTACTCCCTCCATCATTCTCTTAAACCTTTTTCCTTTTTCCTTTTTGGTCCGTTTCGAAAAGAATGACTCCTTTCTAAATCCGGAAACAATTTAGCTTAAACTTCTCATACTACCCTTAATGAGAAGCTTTTATAACCACACAAATACCCTGAATCCCTTTTTGACTTGTTTATGACTACAAATTTCAAAAGTCATTCATTTTTTCTTAAACCTTGTGTACAGTCAAATAGGTTCACATAAATTGGAACGGAGGAAGTATATCATACTGTGAAAGATCTTTTAGTTCTTTGATTTCTATTGTCAAGGGACTTTTTCTCTTATGTAACAAATTGCGAGAATATAAGAATTTTCTTGTATATGCTAATGCAAAATAGAAGTGAATCTATTATCTTTTACTTTTTTGGCTAAATTTTTCAATCTTTTCACAATTATAGTTCATTGCGACGCTCCTTTAATCAGCAGTTTGTAGGTGTAAAGTGCAATTTTCCCCAAAAAATACGATGGAAAAATCATTTATATATTTATTCAGTGGAAGAAAAGATGATAAAAATCTTGGAGTATCAAAACTAGTCAAAAAAGATGGCATGAAGCTTGAAGGGGCCCAAGAGTGTTGCAATAATGGACAAGTATCCACATGAGCATAATATGTAGGACCCGAACACCACTAAATTCATTCTTCCAGACATGAAAGAAATGATACATGTGGAATGTCACAATAAGTAGTTTTGAAGGTGTAGTGGTCAATTTATGTTAAAGTAAAGTAAAATTAAGGAATATTTTTAAACTTACTGAACATGTAACACAGTGTACATGTTTATACTGCATCATTGAGCAAAAATATCAATGGACGTTTGACTGTACAGTTTGGCTACTTTAATCATACACCTTTCAGTTCCATTTCTTTGCTATTTCTAAATTTTGGTCTTATAATTTCTCATATTCTTTTTTTAACAACAAACTGCGGCGTTGATTTTGACTTTTTGCAGGTTTTCTTTGAATCAAAATTTTCAGGTTTTCGTCCTACAGTGGGCGAGAGAGATGGCTTATGTTGCTGTGATCTCTCTCTTACGAACTCTGGAGCAACTTGTGCAGCTGCAGCCTCATTGGATAAGTGCTGAAACAAGAATAATGGTGGACTCTCTCCTTGTTAGTCTTGAATATTTCCAAAACTTTCTCGAGAACACGAGCAAGAGAAGTCAAGATCATGGACAGATTAAAGAGCTGGAGAGAGATATTAGAACTGTAGTAAATGAAGCAGAGGATGTGATTAAACTAAAGATATATGAAATTAATCAGCTGGATCGAACGATGGCAAGCAAGGCATTATGTGAAATCTTGCCTCCACTTGTAGAAAAGATTGACCTTGTGAAAAGGGAGGTGATGGGAAGTAGTTTCAGTACAGATAAAATCCATGGCTATGGTGATCCAATGAATGAGAATCTGCAGCTGGGTCATTCATCTAGACAAGTTGCAAAACTGGATCTAGAAACTGTTGTCGTGGGTCTCGAAGATGACTTGATGAAAATCAAGAGAAGATTAACCGGGCCCCCATCTACTCGAGAAATTGTCCCGATTCTGGGAATGGGGGGGATAGGCAAAACGACACTTGCTAAAAATGCATACGATGATTCTGAAATCAGGCATCGGTTTGATATCCATATTTGGGTGACAGTCTCTCAAGAATACCGAATTAGAGATTTGTTGTTAGGTGTTCTTTCTTGTACTTCAAATGAGATCAAATAGACTGATGATCAATTGATGGATATGATATACAAGAAGTTAAAGGGTCGGAGATATCTTGTTGTAATGGATGATCTTTGGAGTAGTGACGTCTGGGATCTGATGACAAGAACTTTTCCAGACGATAATAATGGGAGTCGAATTATTTTGACAAGTAGGCTCAAAGATGTGGCTATCCATGCTGACCCTGACAGCCCTCCTCATGAGATGAGACTCTTGAGCTCAGATGAAAGTTGGAAGTTACTTCATGACAAAGTGTTTGGGGTAAAACATGAGATTTGTCCTCCTGAACTAAAGGATATCGGGAAGCAAGTAGCACAAAAATGCCAAGGACTACCTTTAGCTCTTCTAGTGGTTGCAGGACATCTCTCTAAAATTGCTAGAACACCAGAAAGTTGGGGAGATGTTGCCAAAAGTGTAAGTATAGTTGTTGCTGATGAACCAGATATATGTCTAGGTGTGCTTGCTATGAGTTACAATTACTTACCTAATCACCTTAAACCATGTTTCCTTTACATGGGAGTCTTTCCAGAAGATAGCTAGGTTAACATTGTGACATTGATCAACTTATGGGTTTCTGAGGGGTTTCTAGGGAAAGAAAGACTCAAAAGCATGGAACAAGTGGGAAGAGATTGTTGGGATGATCTTGTTAGTAGGAATCTGATAATGGTTAGAAAGAGGAGATTTAATGGGGAGGCGAGAACATGTGGTGTCCATGATTTGGTTCGCGACTTGATTTTAAGAGAAGCTGAGAAAGAGAAGTTCTTGCAGGTTACTAGAGCTTACGAAGTCACGAATCATGTCCGTCACTACAGCTTCCATCCGGACATTTATGAGGCTGATTGCTGGGAGTCCAGTCTCATCCGAACAGTGCACTTATGGGGATTTGGTCATTTTTTTCATTTTCAGCACTTCAAACTGCTGAGAGTGTTGGTAATCCCTTATTATGAGTTTCAAGATTTCCCTCTTGAGATAACAAAATTAGTACATCTCAGATACCTTCAGTTCTGGTGTAATGATGATATTCACCAGTTAGTGTCAAAGCTATATAATCTGCATACCTTCATTTTTCGTCATGAAGGTCTTAAACCTCCAACTATACCTGAGACAATTTGGAAAATGAAACATTTAAGGCATCTTCACGTCGTCAAGAGAGTCTTTTCTCTTGCTATCCCGATTAAGTCTGGCTTCAAGCTAGAAAATTTGGAGGGACTTTCCTGTCTAAATTTGTCCAACTGTACTTATGAATTGTTTTCTGCTATTCCAAATCTTAAGAGGCTGAAGATTTATGGAAATTGGAGGGAATGCAAGAGAGAGAAGATTTCCCAGCACCTAGATAGTCTTTCCTGTTTAAAAGAACTTGAAATATTGAAGTTCAGGTACCAAGGACGCTACCGTCGCCGGCTACCAAGGAAGCTTTCTTTACCTACATCTCTGAAGAGGCTGACTTTAAAAAATACTTTTTTTCTTCTGGAAGACTTGACAAATATTCTAACGTTGCCAAACCTCGAAGTGCTTAAAATGAAAGATGTATTTTATAATGATGAGTGGATATTAAATGATGATGAGATTTTCAGTCAACTTAAGTTTCTTCTAATCAGTGTAACATCTCTGAGGCACTGGAAAGCTGTGAGTGTTAACTTCCCAAAACTACAACGCCTAGTTCTGAGAAGCTGCATAGGCCTGGAAGAAATCCCTAAAGACTTCGGAGAAATTTATAGCTTGGAGTCAATAGAATTGTATGACTGCAGTATGTCCACTGCAAAATCAGTGGAAGAACTTCGAGAAGAGCAAGAGAGCATGGGGAATGATTGCCTCAGTGTCGTCATCAATAATTGTGTGTAAGATTTAATCTGTCTCAAATTATTGCTCGCTAATCAGCTTAAATTTTTTCTGTCTTTATTTCACGTGCTCCATCTTACCTCAACAACAACGATCCAGTAAAATCCCACTAGTGAGGTCTGGGTAAGGTAGTGTATACGCAGACCTTAACTCTACCCGAGGGAGTAGAGAGGCGTGCTCCATCTTACCTCATGATATATATTTACAATTCAAGCAGCGATGATAGTTTAAAATTTTAGAGGACAAGTCAAGGAAGTCTACAACACACTTAATATATTATATTGTCTTATGAGTTTCTTCTCGTTGTAGGTATTGATGTTTAAGATCAAGAAAGTTGGTCATGCTTGTTAAGAGAAAATGGTGTGCGTGTGATGGCTTCAATTGGAGCTCTGGATTTTGGAAAAGGCATCGATGACTATGCATCAAGTAGGGGTATAAGCATCACATGCATGTAGCTACTGACTGTGCATTCAGTTCAAGCAAATAAGATCATAAAGGCATCCAGTGGCCTATCCAACAAAACTGTGCTGCAAACGACATACTGTAAACGATTTAAAAAATATCTTAAATTAGTTGAATTGAGATTCTACATCACTTGAAAGAATTTACAAGCTTGTTCACCGTGTCAAGAGATCTAAAACAAGTGACCAAGCCTTGAGAATCGAAATTGAAAAAAAGCAAAGGTTCAAATTTATTTAAAGGCAGCATTGCTATAGGCTATAGCTTAAAATGGAAAAGAAACTCTTGCATTAAGACAGGTAATCTCTTGCAACAACATTTACACTAAGGGTGTGTTTGGTACGACGGAAAATGTTTTCCAATTTTTCCATGTTTGGTTGGTTTAAATGTTTTGGAAAACATTTTTCTTATGAACTCATTTTCCTTCAATTGGAGGAAAATGTTTTCCTTATCAAGAGAAGGGAAAACATTTTCCAAAATTCCTTGTAAATCTTCCCCATCCTCACCAACCCACCTTACTCCCTCTCTTCAAAAAAT